AATTTGAGCAAATCGTGGCTGTCCAAGTGATATTTGTTTTGCAGGGACGCATGCCGATGCTGCAACGCTTTCGAACAGCTTCGCATTCGTTTTCGGGAAGATCCACTCAAGGCATGATTATCATTCGTGAGATTCCATGACCTGTGGGGGTCACCTTCAACGGTAAAGCATTCTGACGATCATCGGACATCGTCTATTCCAGTGCAGACTTTCTCATCATAGAAGCAACCGTAGTAGCTCACAAGGGTCAAATCATAAGTATGTACTTTACTTTTAATGGCAGAGAGGAGAGGATCACGACCTTCTCATGCCCATTCTTATAAATAATAATTGCTATGAACGTACATTATAAACGCAGGCATTTTAGTTACAGAAGCAACCAAGATTCCTCTTAGAGATATCACGTAAAATGGAGGTAATATTGCTAATAGGGTAGCGTTTCCAGCAATATCGCGATTAATTCTGCTAGATGGTGCAGCAGAACTATTACGTACAGCATCCACATATCCTGTCGTCCTGGCCACCATAGATCTTGAGAACAAAAGGAAACGTGTAACACTCATGATTGGCAGATTAGATTTGGTGAGTCAAAGTTAGTCTGGTTCTCTACTAACGGAGTACAGTTGAGAAGACTTGTAGCATCTTATCGAACATAGTTCATTCAAACATTACTCGCATCCGGATTCTGGCAGACATCACTCAATTCCTCAACTTTTGAGGTCTGCGTCAAAACAGGTCTGCATGAGCTCCATGAAGAAGGAAGTTATAATTCTTTGATAATCGAAGCATAAGGCGTATGGATATCACAACTCAGGATGAAATATAAACATTCTTCCTCTTATCCCATTGCATGAGACGCCGTGTAAGCATTCCATCTTGATGGAACAAGCTTGTGCCCAGTTTTCAGGCCTTTCGATATTCGCCAGTTACAACGAGATCCTTCCGTCTTGTTGGAGGTCTTCCTGGCGACCGTCCTTCATCAGGCTTTGCATTGAGCATCCGCTTCAGAAGTAATCTAGCGCTGTTAACTCAATGAAGTGAACATAAGCAGTATTGTTCACATGATCAAAAGACGGCAATGGTCCATTGCTTCTGGAACAAACGATTCGGCACGAAACATACTGATTCTACGATGCAAACCGAAACTTCTCCAATTAAATCCAACAACTGTAATATGGATTACACCCTGTACTGATTATCATACAGTACAGTCAACCAAGAGGTGAATCCAAGCAAACAGTACTTGTAAGAAACGCCCACATCAGACAGCATGACCGTACCTCTCTCTTCTTCTGATCGTCAGAACAGAGCACTATGACGTCCCTATTACTAGCATAGCAACGAATTGCAACCAGCTTCTTAACTGGTTGCAACAGAAGCAGTGTTGATGCATTTCTTGCTCAAGGGACTCAGCGCTAGGAAGAACTTTCCTTCGGGAAGTGTCAGTTCTAATTCCGATTCGCCCTTTCCCATCGTGTCTGAAAGATATCGTTGTACGTTGATAATCTGCGTGTCTTATTGCTCGTCTTGGCCCTGACGATGGATCGGGTGTTATCCAAAACATCATTCAAACTGCAAATGCTTTGACCACGTGAATAACCCTGTTTGCGATTATAACGATGAAAAATAATGTCTCCATATAAAGCAACCTAATTTTTTATCACACGAGGCTGTTCGACCCAAATTCGACAACATCTCGTTAAGCATGACTTTGAGAGCGAAGGTGGGCAGTTCTGTATGTGCACCCATGGACGCGCGTGAAATTCAAGAATCGTTTTTGCACGCAATCGAAGCAGCAAAACAGAGCTCTTTAAACTTGCTTCCCCCGCAGGATATGTCTCTTCTTCGTGAGTGGTGTGTGAGTGTGACCACTGAAATGAAATTAGGATAGGAAAGAGGGGGTAAGAAGATTTGCTCTCCTCACTTAACAGTTAACGAGTTTTTCAAATGGACCTTGAGGCTCTACAGTCAACTAAAAAGTACCCTCGACTTAAAGCATTACTTTCGTTCGTCGAGTTTAGATCACTGTTTTGCTTTCCATTCATTGTTCTATGCAGCTGTTCTGTAGTTCAAGCTGTTGGTCTGGTTGGAAAATTTTGTCTAACTCACAGCACCGCTCTATAGAGTCGCTGCAATTGGTCAAGTTCATCCGCAGCGATCAATAAGCTTTACAAATATCCGCCGCATGCCTATGACCTTGCCAAAATCCTTCATATCGTTTCTAGTCGTAGTTCCGCGATCGTAGTCGTTAATTCCAATTTCTGTGCAGCAGTCTGTAACAGTTTACGAAAACTCAGGCATTCAGTTTTTCAAGCATTGTGTGAAACTGTTTCGAATGTCGGTATGGAATGTGCATAATAATAAACCGGCACTTTCAACTGTTCTAGAAACCACGAAACAGACAGACGCTAGTCTCAAGTCGATCTGCCGAAGCCTCGGCCAAACCTCCTTCGCCCTCATTACGCCAATCAGATAAACAGTTTTTTGCCCTTATGATGGTCAATGTGGTTTGGCTGAAGCGTCGGCAGTTCTGGTAATTTCTGCCATCCATCTGTTTTCATCGTTTCTATAGATATAAGTGTCAGTTTATTGAAAAATAGGAGGCAGAAGTAAAATTACTTTGTGATATGTGCGTAATATTGTCAGTACATGATTTAGTGACTATTCGGCAACAATAACTGTACCCGAAACCCAGACAGTACCAAGAAATGAAACTAAATAGTAAAGTAAAATCACTGCCATTTAACGAAGGCATTAAAAAGTATATATTGTACTTGCAATAGGGTAGAAATTTGCGTATATGGCACGTGTTAATGGTGGAAACGGTATAACCGAATATTATCAACGAATCGCAAACAGCCGAGCCTCGACTTCAGTTCAACGTTTCACGACGTCCTCTACGTGTTGCA